TGGGGGGAGGGGGGGGGGGGAAAGTCGGGGGGGTTGTCACGTGACGCCCGATCAGATATCAGCCTCGGACGAGCAGCACTGCGATTATTGGGGATCTAGCAGATCACAGCGGAGCACAGCCACAAAATCTGACAGCTTTCCATGGGCAGGGGATCTGCCAAGCTTGGCTATAGGCCGGCTGCAAAAGGCCTGCAGAGTCTCAGATGCTCTGCTCATCTCCTTTACTGCAGTAAGAAAAACTGATTGCCAGCACAGGACTCTCACACTGATGGCAGGTTGTAGAGAGGAGGTGATGGGCAATGCATGTAGAGTTGCTGGGGGCTGATCTCAGCTGCATGCCCATCTCTCATCTTCCTGCTGAGCTGCTCCCTGTGCACTAAACACTTTTCATGATGGCATATATATGCAGGTCTGTGATCAAATAAGACTAATCACACTCGGATAAGAAGCCCAGAGGGGGTTTCAGCAGAAAAAAAATCGATTAGTCATTAGCTTTGATCCCTGAATGCCTAGACACAGCAATCTCTCTCTTCCTCTCTCTTCTTTCTGTCTACCTATGTATTATCTATGTATCTATGTATGTATCTATGTATCTAATCTATCTATCTATCTATCTATCTATCTATCTATCTATCTATCTATCTACCTATATACCTTTCCACCAAGCCATCTAACTACTTGTCTCATCTTTATCATATCACCTATGTGTGCATTATCAGCCTCACTCTTATTGTCTTTTATACAATTTACAGAGTTACAGTACCATCCTGTATAAAAATGTGTGTATGAATATGTACAGTCTGCCAGCATTAACTCCCTCCATATGCACTAAGTTATAATTACATACATGCTGTGACATATATCCCAAATGTTAAATGACAGACCGTGCGATATTAACATCAGCAGCTCTCTGGCCTTGTGTCTATACGGTACAATTTACAGTCTGGGGAGAGGACCCAACAAAGACCTGACTGCATTGCTACCTCTGATGCCTCTGGCCCTGCATCACTGCATAGCGTCCTCCTTCTGTTGCATCACTGCATCACTTTATTGTAGTATTTAGCTGAGAGTCGCCTCACCATCAGACCTGCTGCCTTTGTTACTTGAACTGCCTGCTCCGTAGCCCCATCGCATGCTTTTAGTTCATGCAGACTGCTGGATGCACCCAAAACTTTTGGCAAGTTGAAGTTGCGTAATCAGCCACTGCATAGGGAGCCCAGACCAGAGGCTGGAGCTAAAGGCGCTGCTAGGAGGGTCACCCAGACAGGTCCTTTAAGTATTGCACAACGCCTGCCAGCCTAACAAGAAGGTGTTAATCGATACTCATGCGTCGTCCAAAACACTAGTGGAATACCAAAGTAGCCATGGACAGTGCTGATGTAGCCCGTACAGCTGTGCACAGGCGGTGGACAGCAGTAGCAGAGCCAAGCAATCAAAAGACTGTCTCTTCCCCGCAGCTGCAAGGGCAATAGGTCATTATTTTAACCCTGCTTTTTTAAATCAAAGGCTTGGCATAAAAAAATGAGCGACTTCAGTAATTAAGGGGTTTACTGATTTATAAAAATTGACACGTTTAGTTCTATAAGGAAGCAGGCAGCACCCCATAGGCTCCAGTGATGGAGTATGACTGCTCTGGAAAGTCAGGAGATCAGCAGGTGCTTGGCTTGCTGCAGGAAGAAGAAGAAGAAGAAAAAAAACCCCAACTCAGGTTCAGGCAGTGGAGCTGCATTTTAACCGGTAACCTTAGAATTGTCTAAGGTGCAAGCTGAGAATTGCAGATAGTCTGTGCACCTAGAATCCTACACCATGTTAGCAGCGTTCAAGATAAAAAAAAAAACAAAAAAAAACCGTTTAAAATAAAAACACATGGTTTACTTTAAACATTTCCAAAATCTCCCTCCCCATTAAAAAAAAAAAAAATTAAAAAAAAATTGCAGTACTTACTTGTGAATGAGCACTTAAGTCTATTTAGCTTTCAGACAGGTCCTCTTAAAGGCAGAGTAGTGCACCTTATCAAATAATAAAAAATACATTCTTCCTAATATGTTCTCTCTGTATTATTACCCACAGGATGATCAAGCCAGCATTGACTCCAGCACAGGCTCGTC